TTGCCTTCCCCCAGCCCTGCTGAAGCCTGCAGAGTGCTGCTACAGCCGGAGGGAAGGCAAAAATACCTCAATTTTTGCGAAAAAACAGCCCTTTTTCGCCCATTTTCTGCAAAAATGGGGTGCGGGGGTGGGGCTTCGGGAGGCCAAAAATGGCTGTATTTGGTGTATAAGATGCACCAACATTTCCACGCTCTTTTAAGGGGGAAAGGTGCGTCTTATACTCCAAAAAAACTATGGTAACTTCTCTGCGAATAAAAACCGAGGAGACAGCCTGTTCTTCAAATCTGTCTAACGGCTTTCTTCCACAGAGGATGGAAATGCAATCATCTTTGCATTTTCTCATTATTGCAGTGACCTTCTTCAGTCTGAGGTTGTGGCATTTCCACTGTTATTAAGCAGATGCCGTAATCCTCTTTTTCCTTCAAGGAATCCTACGCTCCTCTTCTTGCATGCTATTCTTAGGAAGTGATTCAGGATGAGGCAGAAGGAATCGGGGCCAACTTAGTCAGAGAGGCCTTCCAGGAAATACTGGGTCAAGGGCTTATAACCTGATTTTTTTCACTCCTTCTGGCCCAACGCTCAACTTTTCCCATCAGTATCCATGGTGTCCCATAAACGGAAAAATGTCCACACATCGAAGAAGGCAACCGGGGCCCTCCTTAGACATAGTTGGAGAATGTAGGCTGGGGGGAAACATCTGATGTCCACTGTAGTTTCAGTTCAAGGATATGAACCATTTTTGTAAAAGTTGCAAGTCTTTTCAGAATTTGCATGAGTCCTGGATAGCTTTGCACCTCTCGGTCTTATCCCTTATTCCAATTCCCATCAATGCCAGGAAGATCAAGCACCATGTTGTAGGAAGTTAAAAACCCACCCCTCTCCTAGAGGAATGAAATATCCTAGGAAATATTGAAAAGGCAGAATATTATGTTTCCCTGCATCCGAAATGGAGAAACATGCTTTTAGGCAGGAAGCAGGCTCAATCTTCATAGCCCCCACCTTTGTCAATGGACCATTAAAAGGCCTGGGCCAGTCTATTCTACATAACAAAGACCTCCCCCTTCAGCTCCAGGGTGATGGGATTAAGGCCTGATAGTATGAGCCCTTGACCCATCGCACCACAGGGCACCTGGGAAGAAGCCATGCTCAACCAAACTTGGACTCAAAGCACAGCCTAGAGAGTTGTCTCTGGGACTCTGACAACCAATCAGAATACAAGATCAAGATCAAAGGCCAGAGAGGGCATAAAACCAGGNAAATTTTTAAGTTTACCTTTCCTGTTGTTGATGTGCCTAGGGTGGGCACTTTAAGGCTGGCCATTGAATGGATTAGAATTAAAAGGGTGCAATCCCATTCCTTCTACACCCCCCCCCCCAAATATTGGGATCCTTCCTTTCTGCCACTATCCCCCCCCCCATTTACCCCCTCCAGGCCAGCCCATAATACCCTCGTCCCATTAACAGCACACGAAAGACCAACCCCCTCCCCTTTCAAAGCCTGGGCGGGGGCGGTGCAGTAAACTACAACTCCCGCCACCCCTCAGTACCTCCCACCTTCTAATGGAAGGCTGGAGACCCCGGGGGGTGATGGGAGTTGTAGTCCAGCCCTCCCAGAGCGCCCGCTGGGCAGAAACCAGGCCGTCCCTCCCCGCTCTCGGCCCCTACTCGGCCTTGTTCTCTTCGGCGCCCGGCGGAGGCCCCTCGTCTCGTTGCCGGGCGGGCGCCGCCGAATCCCCGCCGCCCCATCGAGGCCGCTGCCGGGCCCCCTTGGCTGCCATGCCGAGTGTGGGCAGGCGGCCGGGCTCGTGGCGCTCAGCGCGGGGACGCGACGCCGCTCGCCGCCATCTTCAGTGTGGGCACAGCGCAGGCGCAGTTCCTTTTTTTCCTCCCCACTAGTCCCGCGTCTTGCTCTTGCGGCGCTGGTGCAGCGACGGGCGACGTGTAAAAAAGGCACGAAGTCCCATAGGCGGGGCAGCGGCGCCTAGTGGGAAGAGCCCCACTCTCATTTGCATGTCCCTCCGCCCCTCAATTGCCTTCCCCTCAATTGCCTTTCTCCATTGCGCCCAATTTGCCCATTGCAATCGGGCGCTGCAACTGCGAAAGGCGAATAATGTTTATTTCTTCTATCGCTGCTGTTAATTGCTGCAAAATCTTATTGCTTTCATGGAGATGGATGCTTGCTATTTTTATGCACTTCAATCGAATGCAGGAAGTTAAAAACCCACCCCTCTCCTAGAAAAATTAAATATCCCTGGAAATATTGAAAAGGCAGAATATTATGTTTTCCTGGATCCGAAATGGAGAAACATGTTTTTAGGCAGGAAGCAGGCTCACTCTTAATAGCCCCCACCTTTGTCAATGGGCCATTGAAACCAATTCCGTTGTATTTAAGTAGGACAATAAAGATTATACTATACTATACTATTCAAAGGCCTGAGCCAGTCTATTCTACATAACAAAGACCTCCCCCTTCAGCTCCAGGGTGATGGGGTTAAGAATGGGGTTAATCTTTGTCAATGGGCCATTGACAACCAATTGTGTTGTATTTAAGTATGACAATTATAGTATAGATTATATAGTATAGATTATACTATACAATAAAAAGGCCTGAGCCAGTCTATTCTACACAACGAAGACCTCCCCCCTTCAGCTCCAGGGTGATGGGATTAAGGCCTGATAGTATGAGCCCTTGACCCATCTCACCACAGGGCACCTGGGAAGAAGCCATGCTCAGCCAAACATGGACTCACAGCCTAGAGAGTTGCCCCTGCATGCCCGCTGGGAGTCTGACAACCAATCAGAATGCAAGATCAAGATCAAAGGCCAGAGAGGGCATAAGACCAGGGACTTTCAGCATCTCAGCTTCTCTTTTCTTCTTCACCCAACATCTGGAAGCCTCTGATCCCCCTTTTCTGCTCAGGAGCTCAAGCCATGCGACCCTGTCCACCATTAAAACCCTCTTTCCAAGCAGCCTCCATGTTT